CATAGGGTAGATTGTTTTTGACACTTATATAAAAAGTGTCAGGAGAGGTAAGGAGATAAAGGGGTCTATACATTTTTCCAAACACATCAGTTGCCTTTTCATCTTTGTAACAATGTAATAGTCATCTCCAGTGTTACAGGAATGCAGGAAATCATTTCTCAACATGAAATACTAGCTTTTCTAGGTAAGAAGGTGTGGTGTTTTACTGCTACAAGGAGATAGAGCAATAAGATTGAATCCCTGTATCATTAGAAATGCCTTATATATTGAGTTAATAGTAAACAAATATAATAGCTGATAATGAGGTTTGAAGTAGTCAGTGAAAATGAACACATTTTTGCACTGGTGCATATAGATCATACTAGGAAGTTCATAATGATATAGAAATAGCATGTGAATTTGAATTAAAGGTGATAAGTATGTCAACGTGTCTAAGTGTTACACAACGTTGAATAGGCATTTTGCTAGAGCCAGGAGAAATGTGTCAGGGTTTGCTTAGATACAGCATGTCAGAATATTTTCTGTTTAGTCATATAGCTAAAACTATAAAGCCACTGGAGGGGAAGAAGATTACAAGAGGAGGCTAAGAGTTTGTAACTTTTGTTTTTGAACTTGTCATTTACACATAAATGACCAGTCAGCATGTTAACTAGGTTCATTAGTCATAATATATGGTAGGGATTTGAGTCCTCACAGCTACATTGAGGTGTTTTGCCTCAGTGTGCAATTATTTACTTTGCAAAATAATGGCATGCTGTCAGGGATTTACTTTTGTCTTTATTAGCTTTGGTGCTTTGGCATGCATGAAGTACTCTCATCCAATTCTATCATTGGGATTGCAGAGCTAAACTAATATTACATTAAGACAAATTTCTACACTCATGATTATAACTTTGCTGGACAGTAGCATGGTAAATACGCTTTCTATTGGCAGCTGGTGGAGTGCAATTGTTTTTATTGGCAGTATACTCAGACCTGTGATAGTGTAATGATGAGTGTCCTCATTATTCATTATAAATCAATGTGTATATTTAAATAAGAAAACTATCATCACCACTATGGAGATGGTGGGTTTTGCTGGCAAGCAGTGAGGTTACTTTCAGAGCTGCTACTGATAGTGGGTCTTGGTAGGGGACAAGTGCTGATGTTTCAGCTTTGTTAATTTTCACTTTACCTGCATTTAATAACTGTTCGGTTTCTAATTTGAAAAGTTTGCTGTTCTTTGTTGTTGAAATTTTCATGCAGAATATCCAAGCTGCTGACTACAATTGTAAATGGATTATTTATCACAAGTCACTTCTTCAAGGGCAACATACTTTATCTTTTGACATGATTTCTGCTGCATGTAGTGGATTAGCAGATATACATTAAAGCAATTGGAACAAATACAGGTTTTTAGTGAAAATACAGATGAATGCATTAATTTAAGAATTATCAGTAATTAAGAGTAAGGGTCAACATTTCTTTCTCAAAGTATGTAATAAGAATTACCAAACCAGAAGGCACTTCTCTCCTCACATGCTCCCATTAGTCCTACATCAGTGCACTGAAGGTCATATTACAGAAAAATATTTATACTTGGCTGGCTTGGAGGTAATTTCAGAAATATCCTTTTGCCTTATTATCCAAAACTGGAAGCTATGTTGTACAGAAATGTGAAGGTTGTTCTTTGGCTGTTTGGCTTTCCATCCACCATATTTTATAGTATCATGAAGTAATATCTGGGAGACTTTCCTCCAAAACGCAACCGAGGTGTTTCTGGCTGATACCAAAAGTGGGAGTTCAAAGTTGCATTTCATAAGGGATAAAGTATGAAGGGAGCATTAGGCTGTAGAGTGACATACACCTCTACCCCAATATAACGCGACCCGATATAATACGAATTTGGATATAACGCGGTAAAGCAGTGCTCCGGGGGGCGGGGCTGCGCACTCTGGCGGATCAAAGCAAGTTCGATATAAGGCGGTTTCACCTATAATGCGGTAAGATTTTTTGGCTCCTGAGGACAGCGTTATATCGAGGTAGAGGTGTACCAGCAATAGTGGAGAGTACAACACAAAGGCGAAACAAATACTATCTCTATTTAAAGCACATGCTTTTCTGCAAGGAGTTTCTTTTTCTGGCCTACTTACAGGGTATGTCTTCATTGCAGCGTTAACTTGAGTAATCAGCACCTGGGTGTGAGCCCCTGGGTTGGCTTATCCCATGTGTGAACAGCCACAATGCAAAGCCATACTCCAGTGTTTTCACTCAGCTGCATCCACTCTGGTGCTGCACTCACTTGTGTGCATCACTAGGACTTGTGGGGGCAGTATCCCATGGTTATTTGTGTTAGTCAGCTGAGACACCCTGATTCTTTCCCAGTGAATTGTGGGACAATTTCTCTGTCATTCTGATCACATGCAGGGAATTGTGGGAAGGCATTGGAAGACCATCAGCACTCGAGTGGCTTAGCCTTTGTCCACATTTCAAAATGAGTGGGCTACCAACCCAAGTGTGAGCAGCATTCTGGCTTTAGCTTCTTCCCCCAAATGGGGCATCTAGCTCAGGTGTAAAGCCCCATTACACATAGGGGAGGGGTTGTTGTCTGTGGATGTGAGCCAGGTTAGTGACAACACTTGAGTCAGAGCCCAAGTTAACTCTGCAGTGAAGACAAGCCCTCACATTTAGGATCGAGATTTTCCTCAGCTTGGTCTAAAGGCAAGAGTCACTTCCAAACACTTGCTGGCTTGCTTCAGCCAAGAGAAATATTAATAGTATTAATTTAATCTAGGAAGATTTGCAATCTGGTGATGTTAATAAAGCAGTCAGCTATTTAGGGTCTCCCTGCCGTATGGTTGGGACTTGGTCTGGAAGTCACCTGGCTCTATTACTTCCTTGAAGTAGGGAAGGAAGGGATGGGGGGAGGAAGAGCTCTTCCTCAAAAAGTCCCAAGCTATTTCCCTTTCCTATTTGTTTATTTCATTTAATTATCCCAGGTGGGATTCTCCCTTTCCACCCTGTAGGCTGAGCAGCTTCTCTAGGACAGGATAGGTCCTCTATCTGGTTCTCTATGGGTAGGGCCCTACCAAATTCATGGCCGTGAAAAAAGCGTAACGGACCATGAAATCTGGTCTCCCCCATGAAATCTGTATAGTATAGGGTAAAAGTACACAAAAGACCAGATTTCACAGGGGGAGTCCAGCGTTTCTCAAACTGGGGGTTCTTTCACTCCCCTGTGAAATCTGGTCTTTTGTGTACTTTTACCCTATACTATACAGATTTCATGGGGGGAGACCAGATTTCACGGTCCGTTACGCTTCTTTCACGGCCATGAATTTGGTAGGGGAAAAAAATCAATTATTTTATACTTGAGTGCCTCTCATGCTCCTGGGCACTGTAAAAAGTACGTATGATAGAATACAAGACTTGATCCTGCAGTCTTCTCACATGGCAAAACTCCTATTAAAGTGAACCAGAGTTTTTCCTGTATAAATATAGCAGGATGTGGATCATGATTTCTACATGACATTTTATAGTGCACGGCTAAATATATCTACTGCATTTACTGTTAAAATAGTTTATAGCTGAAGAATAAAAACATATACAAATACCTCACCTTTAAAATCATTCCAGTTTGGTATTTGCAATTTAGATAACATTACTGAACTAGTACAAAGTAGTTAATGTTCTCATATTTTAAGAGGGTTTTTTCCCCCCAATTTAACTGGCCACTCCTTACAACAGGTTTAGTCAGAGGCTGACTGGTTTTGACTTTACATTTCTATTATTTTGGGGGCTTTCCATCCTCCCCATTTACAGCTAATTGTGAAAACCTTACCTGCTCAGCACTCAATGAATTCACTAGGAGTTACATATGTAGAGGGATTGCAGGACTGGCTGCTTCGTCATTTGAACTTCTTAATTTAAGTGGGGTCCTGTAAAGAGTGCTAGACACAAATAATATTTATAAAACATCTCATTTAAAAAGTGAAATAATCTTCCTCGCTATAAGGCATCCCTTTTGTTTGACTAACTAAATGGAATTGGGAATATGAAAAATCACCTAAGTTAGGATTCAATTTTAGGAAAAACTGGAGGTCAAAGGGAGATCTAGATAAAAGTCGGCATTTTTATTATATTTAATTAAAAGGAAATAGTTCTAAAACTTATCACTAAAGCAGTAATGGTGAAGTTCTGCACTGGCATGGGCAGTTCTTCAACTGGGACCTTATCCTGGAACTCTTCTATAAGTTTAAGTGACTTCTGACTGCAAGAGGAGTGCAGTAATGGATCTCAGTGAGACAGAATTAGTCAAGGCCTGAGTGTTTCAGTTTTCCTTCCCTCCAATCCCTCTGGAAAAAGCAAACACTCTCCCATGCAGCCTGTAACTAGCTTATATAAAACATTATACCATCACCATCCTTTTGTTTATATATTTTTATGTTTTACCTTATAGATCTTCTTTGGGTCTCCTAGTATGCCTTGTTCTTTGATCCTTGAACGTATAGTCTTTTGGGACTGATCTTCTCCTATAAAACTCGTAAAACTTCCATTGACTTTAATGGAAGAGAATGAGGACTTTAAATTCTGAATTTTTCAGAACAGGGACTATGTCACTGAGCCAAATCCTGGAATGTGCTAAACATATGAAACTCCCATTGGACCAGGGCTCAGGACCTCTCGAGGATTCAGTCAGTTACTTATATATTCTTCAATGCAAAACACACCATCTGTGCATAAAAAATAATAGTAATGAATCCCAAGTCCAAAGAAAAGTTTAATTTATTGATCACTTTCATTTGCAAGCGAAACACTTGTATAGCATATCAATAATTAAGTATACAGTTTGTTTCAGCGCTGTTATTGTTATGTCAACTGCAGCAGAGTTCTTCTTTAATGCTACCCACTGTGGGTTATCTATGTTATAACTTAAAATTATAAATAAAAGCCTCACTGCTCAAGAAGAAGAAAAAAGGACAAATTTAGAATTTATTTCCCCTTTATATTTCATATATCAGACTTCTGTGATCAGAGGAACATACATTGGTCTGGAATACATGAGAAAAGGAAATGGAGGGGTAATTATTAATATATCATCTCTGGCAGGTAAGAAAATCTTATATCTAAATCCTTGCTGGTACTTTTTAAAATAAATTAATCCACATTTATTCCTTATTCTTTTCTTCTTTTTTCATGATCTTTTTGTTGTTTCTTCATACTTGTACATCATCTACTTATCTTGCAGTGACTTCCACAATGAATAGAGAAGGGCTACTATTTTTCCCAGCCCAGTTGGGCTATGTAATTGTACACTCAGTAATTTCCTGCACTATTAGTCTCAGATCCCACAATGATGCGTATGGTATAAATATCTAATTTTTTAATCTTCCCTTCAAGGTTACCAAATGATTGTAGATTAAGTGAACATCAGCTAAGCTTAATTCATAATACTTCACTAATATTTTATCTTGCAAAGCCAAAAACGGTATTTGAAGCATACTGTATGTATGAAAGGATAGTCTTCAATATTTATAGACCCAAAGAGGAAACATTTACATTCTGAGTTTTTTTCAAACAATTTTTGTAGCATAAATAGATCAATGGGAATTAAATTTAGAGGGCAGGGAAGTACCAGAAAATCCTCTAAAAATCCATGAGCGAGAGGGAAGCTGAGCAAAAGAAGCTGTCTCTCTCCTTCCTCTAACCCTTTGGTAGCCCCATTAGGTTGTACTAGCTCTGTTGATACTAAAGGGAGTGGCTGGATGAGAAGTGGTCCTCCTCACATCATCCTTTAGCAGACATGTGGGGAATACTTGCAGGAATTAATAGCGACCCTGTCAGCATTGATTCCAGCCCAGTCCCATTTAATACTTTCAAACCATGTGGTGAGAACTTGAGGGTAAGAAAATAATCTTGTCTTTTATATATAGATTGTAAACTATTTTGGACAGGGACTGTCTTTTTGTTGCGATTGTACAGCATCTAGTACAATGAGATCCTGATCTGTAACTAGGGGTCCTAGGAGCTACTACAACACAAATAATTAAATGAGGAGGCACTGAGTATAGAATAGAGGAGGAGGAGGTACTGAGTGAGTATAGGGAGTAGTGTGATTGGATACACCGAGTTCCCCTGCATATCAGGACATCTGCAAGCTGAGAAAACCAAGTCACCCCAATTATATTATGCATTGGAGCTTTGTGAGTTTAAACTCAGTTTTACACACACACACACACACACACACACACACACACACACACACGAGTTTTTCCATTAAATGTCTTCAGGTAGCCCTAACTCAGCATTGATAATACAGCCTGATCCAATGCCTATTGAAGTCAATGAGATTTTTTCCATCAATTGCAACAAATGTTGGATCAGGCCCAAAATATCAACTGCTTTTGTAACACAAGGAACCATCAGCGCTAGTGAAAGATTAAACAGTTTCACACAGTATATAAACATATAAAAAGAGGGCAAAGGTAGAGTACTGCATTGTGGGGACTGAGTCAGCAGTACCGATATGAGTCTTGCCTCCAGGCTTGCAGGATCTGAACTTTTCCTAGTGCATTACAACATGATTTGATTTTTAACATCTAGTAACCCAGCCCTCTCAGGTTTTAATAAGCAAATGTCTTTTTAATTAATCTATTAAAAAGTTTTATTTATTTACTTTTACATTTTTTTAAATGTGATCATTGTGCTCTAATGGTTATGACTATCTCTTTAAAAAACAAAGTGTACCTTGCTTTCTTTACTTTTACATAGCATAAGTTTAGCAATTGTTTCCAAGGGCATCAGAAAAAGCAGATTATAAAAGTTGACACAGGCTTTTTTTATTCCTATTTGTATATTGTGATTATACTTTCTTTTCTAAGACTCTAATCCTGCAGTGACTGCACACATAAAACTCCCCATTAAGTAGTTGTTTAAAACTCACTAGAGTGAGTTTCTGGTGTGTTTGTTTTTCCAGTTTTTTCAGCAAACTTAGCTTCTGTTGACCATTAACAAACCTGTTTCTCTATCTCTTTTGTTTTTCTTTTCAATTCTCTGTAAGTATGTTTTCATCAGACAGGCTCCACACATAGCAAACCTCTGTCTCACATTGTGTGCAATAAGAATAGTCATTTAATCCTTATATAACATTCTATGTTCAAAGTCCTGTACACACACTAACTAATTAGGCTTTAGTTCTATTGGAGTTTTGCCATTGATCTTAATTAGAGAAGGTTCAAATCCTAGAGCTCAGTCCTGCAAGGTGAAGTCAGTGGTACTACTCACATTCTTTACAGTAAGTGCTTTGCTGGATTGGGGCCAGAGTGCCTTGTTCCATACCACCCCTCTGTGAGGTAGGTATAAATTAGGAAATAGAGGCAGCAAAAGACTGATTTGCCTAAGGCCACACAGCAAGTTTTTGGCACAAGAGGGATTAGAACTGAAAAGTACCTGATTACTAACCCTCTGCTTATCCCTGAGCATGCTGCCTCTCAAGGCTATAAAGCTTCTGATAACTTTCAAAGGAGTTATGCAGTCATATAAAAAGAGGAAGTTATACCACTAAGCCTCTGAGACAATGGGAGTTTTGTGTGTGTAGTTGCAGAACTGGCCCCATAGAAGAGAGCTTGCCACAGGTTTCTAAATGAATGCATTATCATAAATATCACTTGACATTTAAGGAGAGTAAGACAGGTTAACCCCTCTTGTAGGATACTGTTAGAGTATAGTTTTGAGGGTTGTGATGTCTGTATAAATTGGTTTTATACCTACATAGAGAAAATTGATACAATGTTAAGTGTAACTGCTAAGGTTGACAACAAAAACTGAAGAGGATGGTTGGTTGGGTGGGTTTCTGTTGTTGGCTGGGTTTTTGTTGTTTTGTTGTTTGGTAATTTTGGCAGATTTTATGTTTTCATGAAGCTATTGTATAAACTAGGCCCTTTGAGCCATCTGGATTCTGAAAGGAAAAAGCAAAATAAATTTATAGAGGACTTAAAAGTAGGTACAATAATTAGTGTAAGAACATACTGACTTGTTAGAGTCCTAGAATATAACATTAGAAGGGACCACCAGATCATCCAGTCTGACTTCCTGTATATCACAAGCCACCAACACCACTCAACAGCACCCACACACTAAACCCAACAACCAAAATGAGACCAATGTATTACAGCATACAGGAGACTAGACTATTATGTGTCACAGGCAGTGAACAGGAGAGATCAAGGTGCACCCGTGCCTGAGGCGCTTGCAATAGCAGGGAAATGATTAAGTGAGGTATACGCAGATGATCCCTGCAAGTGACCCACACTCCAGGGTGCAGGGTCCACAAGTTGCCAACATGGTGCTTTTTCCATAGGATGTTTCTCCAGAAGACAATGCATTGGGTATTTCAGAAAGCACACAAATTTAGGCCCCGATCCTGCAAACATTTACACATGCTGAACTTTGCTATCATAAAGTGATTTCAATGGAAGACTCATGGAAGTAAAGTTAAACATGTATGTGTGTGGTTGCAGGAATGGGATTTTAGGGTCAATACCTTAAAAAGAACTGTGATACTCTCAGACAAGAAAGGAAAAAAAGGGTTGTGCTGACCAGAAGTCAGGATAGGAGCTCTGGGAAACACGAGCTAACATGAATGGGTTAGGGACTTAGATTTTGCTACTTGTAAAATGTCCTGGAAGGAATGCAGCAAGCGACTTCTGCAAAGCTGGTGTCTATTTGGGGTAAACAGGAACCCCTACAATAAAGTCTACACAGGGTGAACTGTGTTCAAACCAGAGCCTCTAGTGAACCCTCTCTCTCTCTCTCTCATCATTCAGCCCATAGCACAGCTACAAATTCATCAACTCTTTAATTTGTTTCCTTTCTTAGACCTCTGTTGGTCCAAAAGAGATTTTGACCTTCAGATCATACTGCAAGTTCATTCTGTTTTTCAGCTTTTTGTCTGAGGAGGAGGAGGGCCATTCAGTTTTGACTTGAGGCTTGGAAATTCTACTTTTTAAGTTGGCATGACAACCATCATTCACTTTTTAAAAATAATTGTTATACATGTTTCTATAGGCTTTGATAAGCATCTTTTATAAAATACACACAAACAAACATGGCAAAAAGTCTGTTATAATGGAAAAATTGGTCAACTTGTTACAATAATACTTAACAGTTTGCTTCTAAATAAATTTCATCATTTTCTCAAAACCTGTCCTTGATCATTTTCACAAAAAGTATTTTATAATCAGTGCAAATTTAGTAAGGCAAAAGTAAGTGGGTGACATACAAGGACCCATTCAAACTTAATATATAACACATTGACTATATATACTTACTGTGGTATTCTGATAATGATCTCTAACACAGTATATTCTTGGCACCAACCACTACCTTCTGATGAGCTCACAGCTCCCACTGAAATCAAGAGTAACCATGTGAGACTTCATAATTTGGCTCTTACTCTTTGCAACATTCTAAGCCATAACAACTTTAAGATTATGAGTAAAGAGAATCACATTTTATCTCAGGATGGCTAACAATGCAGCCACGGGGGAAAGGTGGGATGAAAGGCCAACTACATGCTAATAAATCGTATTTAAAAAGAAATCCCTGTCCATGGGGGAAATATACCTAGGAGGAAATGCTTAATTAATTAGTTAATATTGTGTATTCAACAAACCTGTTCAATAGACTGAAAGAAAGTGGTAATATCAACAAATGCAACTCTGACATACAGCCTTCATCTTCAATGCTAATTTCCCAATTTGTGGATCATGAAATTTAATTAAAGCTATTGACCATCACAAATGAACAAACAGATTTACCTTGATATAACATGACCTGAGATAAGACAAATTCGGATATAACGCGGTAAAGCAGTGCTCTGGGGGGGGAGGGGCTGCGCACTCCGGTGGATCAAAGCAAGTTCAATATAATGCGGTTTCATCTATAACGCAGTAAGATTTTTTGGCTCCCGAGGACAGCGTTATATCGAGGTAGAGATGTAGTTAGAAGTCTCACTTCATGTCTAAAATGGTAATGAGTGATCTGGACACCCTAACAAAGGGACTAGAGTATAAACCAAGGAGAGGAGCTGCCTCTTTGTCAGCTTGCCAAGAAATCAGGAAGAGAGAAAATGAAAGGAAAAATTGCTCTGACTTGTAGGGTTAGTGAAACTGTCTTTTGACATCTAAGTGAGGCGTTGTGCCATCTTCCACTTCATTCTCAGCTAGGTATGCTTTTTAAATTTATTTTCTGATTTTTATCTGTTCTCTCTCTCTCTCTCTCAAATAAACAGTAGTTTGCTTAAATAACCTCTAAGTCCTTCTTCTGGATTCCTAACGCATCCTGTCTTGTATCTGCCTTTTCAACTGTAAATTCATTAGGATTGTCTTTATCTTTATGTTATTTACAGTACATTGTGGTATTAAAAAAAAAGTTAGATGTGATGGGTAATCTTGCCTTTTTGTTCTTTTCTGGAGAGTTTTTTTTTTTTTGGCTGATCTTTTACTCTCTTTCCTTTTCCCCAGTTTGACCTCAAAATTACAGCTAGAATTAAGAATGTTTAATAATGACTGCTACATTTGATTGTGCATTTGTTATAATTTCAACAGGTGTTGTGTATATTCAACTCTTTTTTCATTTTTCAAGGACTCATGCCTGCTGCACACCAACCAGTGTACTGTGCTACAAAGCATGGCATAATTGGATTCACCCGGTCTATAGCTGTGAGTATATGTAGCCAAAAACACTATCAGCAATTCCTTGAGAACAAGCTTATTTTCTCAGGTTCCCTCTCTATAGCAATGCAAGTGAAACCAGTGCCTACAGAAGTGCTGTGGGGCTTTTGTTCTGTTTTAATAAAAGCTTTTAAGGTGGTAGCTGGAGACTCCTTCATTTCACAGGGGTAACACCAAAGAGGTAATAATGGAGGTGTATGTGGGGTTTGTGATCAATACAAGCTTTGGGCAATCTTCTTCTTAGGTTAAGGGCAATGAGGGTGATATAGAGAGAGGATAAAGACAATCAATCAAATAGACAACCTTGGACAAATCATTTCAGTTTCTCCATCTGTAAATTAGGGATGATATTTATGTAACAAGTGGGTGCTGCAATACAAATTGGTAAATGTGGGGGAAATTATTTGAATATGAAAAGTGCTCCCCATTATTAAGGCTGACTCAGGTGTTCTGATTACTTAGCATTGGTGTGGTAGTAACAATGAAAGGCTCCAATTCAGGATGGAGCCTATGCTGGCTGTTGTACAAACATATAGGAAGGAGTAGTCCCTGTCACAAGAAACTTCTTGTCTAATTTATGGCAAGATAACAGTAGAGGGAAAGGGCTTGAAGGAAGTCTGAGGATAACAAGATCATGTATTTGCATAGACCAGTTATTTGATGATAGCCTCTTCACATGAGATTTCTAGTCAAATTTCCAGCCCAAAGAAGCTGAGATATATTTGGATAAGCATGCAGACTTTTAAAATGTTTTCCCAAACCTCTGAATCTTCTAAAGTTAACTAATGCAGATCAGTTTGGGAATAGGAGTCATATATCACACCTTGGCCACAGTCTGCACATGACAGTATATAATTTAATTTTTTGCATGATTTAAAAAATTATAATATCATTCCAACAACAAAAAATGTGGTAAAATGAGAGCATATGCTACCTCCGAATGAACACAAGAAAATAAAACACTGGAGAAACACAATAGGACTTAAAATACTTACCAGATAACGGAAAAGAAGGTGCAGCCTGACACAGGTGGATGAAAATTAGAACTTTTAGGACTCTAGTTGATTGTGCCAGACTTAGGAGGGCAGCTCCTAAAGAAGATTCTTGATAAGGCTCCAATAAAAATGGTAAACCTCAGATTAAACAATTTAGTGGTGAACAGGCAGTCAAAAAGAAAGTCATTCCAGGGCAAGGGACAGAATCCCAATTTTCTGTGGTGAGGGAGGTGAGTGGAAAATATTCAAAAGTTTAGGGCTGGAATTTGGTGTGGTTTGAGATAGTCATATTATTTTGTTTTCTTATGAAAAAGTTTTTTATATATTAGAAAAAAAACCAGGTTTGCTGGTGTTACTTTTAGGATGTCAATTGCTTCTTCTGTATAACATTATATTATACCAGCCATAGTGCTGATAGTTGTAGCTGACATTGCTGATGAGAAAAGATTTAAAAAAATCTGTTTTAAGGAAAGAAAATGTTCAGATTTCTGTCAGAATAATCCTCAGCAAAATATGGGGTGTATGCAAGGTCTTGACTTGCTAAAGAATATATTGTTCAAACTTTTCCTGAAACATTCAAGCATCAATACCACCACCATTTCTTTAGCTGGTAATGATTCCAAGAAATCTTGGGGTACATGCTGAATGTTTGCTAGTAACCTGAGGTAGTCTTGTCCAGGAGCTATTAGTATAATTGTTCACCTGACTTTATAGATTAAGGAATAAAATCTAGAATGTAATCAAGACTCATGTGCATTGATGCGAGTGACACTCCTTTTTATGGCCTTCATCCTCTTCATGTTGACCTCGCCCAACCATGAACCAAATTAATTTCTGCTTTGAGCACCAATTTTGTGTAAAACAGAAATTATATATATATATAAAATAATCAGACAGACACACACACACACACACCCCTATCATAAAAGGCCATAAATAAGACCAGGATCAATACCCAGTCTGCCACCCTCACAACCCTCTTATGCTTTTTGCCAACATCAACCATTGATAAATAAAGGGCTAATATGCTACTGTTAGTTTTGCTGATTGTGTCAAGCAACATGTTTACTAGCCTTTGTAGAGGTTCACAAAATGCTGAAAATGAACACAATGTGTCTGACACTTTTGTAGATGGCGGCTCAAATGGGAAATTATGGCGTGCGACTAAATACAATTTGTCCAGGTTTCGTTAACACACCAATTCTTCAGTCTATTGATAAAGAAGAAAATATGGGACAATATTATGAATACAAGGATGAGATCAAAGATATGATGAAGTTCTATGGTGTTATGGAGTAAGTGAAGCTACACATAATATTCTTTTGTCTTCTATAGCTGAAGGGAAAGTAAGTAGTAGTACCACAGGCAGCTGATCCACAGCAGGCAGTGTAACCAATGTCTGTACTGTATTTCTGCACAACCACACGTGAGACAAAAGAGAAGGCAACTGAAAGAAAGGGACTCAACCATGTTATTGTTGTTGTCCCTTTTCAGCCCAAGCAGCTAATCAAATTTCAGGGCCCTGGGGTTGTTCCAGGTGGAAGTAGAAATTGATTGAGTCTGATATTTTCTTTGATGAAATCTTATTTATTTACAAAGAATGTACAAAGTTCTGTGTCTCTGAACACAAAAGGAATCAAATAGCAGGAAACAGCTTCTTTTCCTCACAGCAGCAAGAGCACTCTTCTCAGCCTGCACCCCTAACTCAAAAATCTTTCCCCAGGTTTCTTCCAGTGTCAAACACCATGCTTTCAGCTGCTCCTTCAGGCTGTCACTCTGAGTCTGCCAGTTTTCTGCCTTCTCAATTGCTATGCTTCTTCCTTCCCACCTAATCACAGCCAAACCCCTCCAGCCCACTCAGTCTAAACTCCTGGGAGGATTCTTTTGCCTTAGGTGGAGCAAAGGTTATGGTTAATTCATCCTGACAGTTTGTTAACAGAATGGTAAGTTCACACCCAGTCTCAAAGATGATTGTGATTCATGCAGTCACCAGTACCTCAAAGCATAACACCATATTGGTTTGCCCATGCTTTTTCAGATGTTACTTGCTTTCACTGAGTAGCATTGAAGTTTTACATTCACTATTGCAAATTACAGAGCGCAAAATTCTCCTCTCTAATTTGCACTGCTCTCCAGTTAATGTCAATGGAAGCATGTTTGGGGAAACAAATACAGAATACACAACAGAGGAGATCTGCAGTGTAGTGGAGTGAAGCATTTTCCTATAGCATTTATCACACTCAGGGAACTTTGATAGGAAACTAAGTGGCAATCAAACATCTGAAGTATTTACCAATGACTAGACCTATAAGGGCTCATTTGCAAAGTTGCAGTTGTATATTTTTTGCATATCCAAATTATGATAACCCCATATCCTTCCAGAAATGCTCTTGCTACTTCGTTATATTTCCAAAAGACTTGGAAGTAGATCTATGCAAATTGTAGATAGTTCATTTTGCAAGCGTTTATGCAAACCTTTATTTATACTTGGTTTAGTACATACTTTTTCCACAATCTCCAGTGCATTATGCTATCAAACTAAGATAACCAAGAGGGTATTCTGTGCCATGTCTGATTTTCAAAATGGAAAAACATTTATTTTTCTGTAGCCCATCGCTAATTGCCAAAGGACTGTTAATGATCATTGAAGATGATGCTTTAAATGGAGAGGTTATGAAGATTACAGCATCCAAGGGGATTCATTTTCAAGAATATAGTGCACTTCCTTTTCAATCAGGAAGGCTATAAATATTATTCTGTTATCTTGGCTCTAAATTAATGTAAAAATGTGTTTTAAACAATTTTTTTTAAAAGACAAATGTTGTTTGTGTCCAAAGAATGACATGATTTGAAATCTTTAATGCAATAATGTACAGTAATGTAGTAATATGATTTCTTACTTTGATTTTAAAAGCTACTGTTAATATTCTTTATTTGGTAGAATAAGCATATTGCTCAAAAGATATTCAATGATGCAGTAATAAGGGTCAGATTCTGCCCATTGGTAATTATATGCTTGTGGCAGGCTGTTCCCCTCCTGACCTAGTGTGGCACTGCAGGCACCCCTTGCTTCAGTTGCCCTTCTGTCAGGACTCTTAGGAACGTCACACAGCTCAAAAGGGCATAAGACAAAATTCCCCTACTGGGATTCTACTTTATTAAATACAAATAAACTTGAAATAGAAAATCTCCCCTGGGCTTCAGTAATCACACAGCCCTCCTCCTTGGGGCTTGTTCCCTCTCAGTCCTGGCCTCTCTGGCCTGTAGTCTCTCCCACTGGGTTCAGGGTTGCACAGCCCTCCTCCTTGGGGCCTATGTTTTTCTGGGAGCTTTCTCCCCCCTCCCCCGACACCTTCTCTTTGTGACCACCATTGTGCAATTGAGCCCTGATGACCTTTATAGGGCCCAGGTGCTGGTTATTCAATTAACTGCCTAGACAAGCCATTACATATTGATGTAAAAACATTTACCAAGAATATATTCTCACTTTGACTTCCAATTCTTTTAAAACTTAAAAGAACTGATGAATGAACAGTAAATGGCTAAATATTTAGCAGCAAGGGGTAACTATAGGACATCTGATGAGAATAAGGGTGCACTGCTGGCTCACATGGATACTTCCAAAATGGAAGAACAGTACTTGCACATCTTCCAGACACTTTGCACCTTCACAGCTTTTGATATTGCACCTTCCCTTGGGCAAAATGGCCATTAACTTCACTGCAAGGTTGAACAAATTGAGAGCATGATCAGACCTTTATTATATATTTCTCTAATTTGTGTAATAAATTGTGGATGAAGATAATACTGTTAACTATGATAGGAGCAATTCATTAAGATACTGTCTGACTATGGAACAGATGTTTTTAGGCATACTGGGCAAATTTACTAATAGTGTAAACTAGCACCACTTGATTCTCTTTAATGAGAGAATTTGTTTACAAATTGGGCTCACAATCCTCAAATTTGATTGTTCTTTGCTATTAGCTGGTAGCCAGAGATGTCTTGTAGGTCTATTTACAATAGTTTTAGGTTCTTTTATATGACCAAGTAGACAGAATAGCCTATGTCTATTTTCCATGTGTAAAAATATGTTGCATCTTTTTTCTGTGCTGCCTGTAGAAATATTACCATAGTACTAGCAACTTCCCATCTTCTTTTGGTTATACAGTAACACAAGTCATGCCAGACATAAAATCCATATTTATAGGATAGTGCAAAGTTGAAGTGCGAGTATCAGTGAAAAAACTATTTTAAAATGAAAAATGACCTATTGCAAATAATCACCAAAGTCTGTATTATTGTACTTTCTATGGATAATTGGGGGCGGGGAGGAGGAAATCACTCTCCAATTAGGGAGGAAAACATCTTTGTTTTTGGAAGGTTTTCTGAGCACATCTGCTTCTTAATTGCACTCAAAGACTAAACGAAATATGAGCAATACAAATTCCAATTACTTTTATTTACAAATTAGAAAAATGGATTTTAAAGAACAACTAGAGGGAACTGTTAAATGAACTTGTCTTTTTGATATAGCATTGTCCTGTATTTGTTTTGCCTGTAATTATATTTTGTGTGTGTAACTTTTTTAAAAATATGTACTTCTCAATTAAATAAAAAATAATTTAAAGTTCTATTGGAGTATTTCTTCTTTATAAATGGAGTTTTGAAAGAAGAGCTAAGAATGAAGAAATGAAGAGCTGAGAAAAGGGGGGAGAAAAAGATCAAGCATGTATCCCCACTTCCTCTCCTCTCTTTTTTTCTTTTTCCCTTCTGGCTATGTCAAAACTGGCAGTTCAGCATTTTTGAAGCCTATTTCACATCCTTGGGCCCCCAGCAGTAACATCAGCATCTTCCAGACACCTTTATAAGAGCCCTAAAATAGCCTCTCACCTCTATATATGTAGCATAAAAATCCAAGAACTAATATCCCAATGCAGTGATTTAAATTTCTGGATAAATTTCACTTGTACCAGAGAGTATTTTAAACCTTGCCTATAAGATATTAGGAGACTTGGTTTTTACTAGCACTTGCCTGTGTAAGGCAACAGCTGATGTAAAACTTAAACTAGTCAACATGCTTCATTAGGTAGCTAGGCAACCCTAATATCCTTTGCTCCTTTCCTTGTCTAGCAATATTTCATTTTAAGTAGTTTATAAACAAAGCGAGCTATATTAATAACCATAGTATGTGCAAACTATCTAACTAGTAGCAACCACAGGAATTTAGATAAGTGGCCAGATTTCCAAAAGAATGCAGCTATTAGCAGCTACCATTGAGAACATATTTAGTTAAGAAAATACTCAGAACACTACATAGTTTCATTATATACATTGCTTACATAATCATCTTGATTACTATGCTCACCTCTAGTAACTACATCTCAAAAAAGAAATATTAAAAAGATTGGGATGGCTTAGTCTGGAGACAGGACCAATAAAGGGGGATATGATTGAGGACTGTACATAATGAATGAGATAGAATAGGTCAATCAGGCACTCCTATTTACCTTTTATATAAAACAAGACCAAGGTGAAACTGAAAGGCAACAAATGTTAAACTAATTACAACTGATGCTTTACACAGTGCATAAGCCTGCGGAACTCACTGCCACAAGATAGTATTGATGCCACGAGTTTAGTAAGATTGAACAAAATATTAGACATTTATATGGATAATAGCCTCAATTACATGAGACAGAGCTAAAATGTATAACTCCTCATGTTTCAGGATTTAAGCCAACCTAATCTTAATCAGACTGTGGTAAGGAAGAAACTTTCTATAAACAGTTTATTCTAGAATTGTTTATAATTAGGTTTATTGCACTTTTCTCTGAAGCAGCTGGAACGGGTCACCACCAAAGACAAAATATTGAGTTAGATGACCACTAGACTAGGATATTTCTAACATGCCTATCTTTAACTAATTAGTTTATTAAACAGTTGCTGTTTTCCAACGGGATTAACTCATTTGTTTCAATTGAGCAGTATAATACACCAAACTTTTGATATGTGTCTGTTAATAGACAATATACATTCAACAGATGTCAAAATCCCAATTTACCACACAACACATGATAACACTATTAGAACATGCCCCTTAAAGAAAAAAGAAGTTAGATGGGTTGTATAAATATCAGTGTTTCACTCTCTGCTAGAGATCAAGGGACCAAACCTGAAGCACACAGTGATTTAGGAGGCAAGTTTTCAGAAAGTGAGAACTGAGATCCACTATCAGTTGCATGCCTAAATGTGTGTGTATAGCAGAGTGTTGTAGCCCATGCACAGTCAGCTCCAATCAAGGGAAGCAGATTGGGGCTGATGGAAAAGGCCTGAGGATTGGCAACACCTGCTGGCCTGACAAGCCAAGGGCTATAAAGGCTGGGAGGGAGCCAGCCAGAGAGAAGTCAGTCAGGGAAGGAGCTAGAGGCCTCCTAGCTGAAGGCTGACTCTCCCTGTAAAGGAGGTAACCACACCTGTAAAGTTGTATATAGATGGACACTGGTGGTGCGACAACATTAAGTAAACAAAGACACGGGTGTTGCACAACCCTGAGGCCTCTCCGAGCCTTATTGGGGAGGGTAAACGGGCCCCAGGAAGAGAGGCAGGTCGTGGACCCTGTTACAGTGTGCAACTATTGCAATTGTAAACACATCAAATATATTTGTATGTAAAAAATAGCCATTTAGATTCCTAAAAAAAACAGTGTACAAATGTGTATTCACAATTGTTTATGTAACTGGACTCAGGGCACTCTTAAAAAAATTTGTCCCTAAAGATAGGGAAGGACTAAAATTGTATCTTACTTTTACGTACATGTCTTTCTAAGTGGGGAATCAGCAAACTTCAAAAAGTTTTTCTGGACTATTTTTTAACTTAAAGAGACAGCTTTTGGAATATAAGGTATAGAGAGTAAATTTTTTATTACACACACACACACACACACACAAGGTATAACTGGGCGTTCCGATAAATGGAAGTGCTATTAAGTAACATAGGGCTACATGGGGGACAGACTTTGGACTCAAATAACTAGGGTTTTCAGAATAATGGAATTAGGGTAACTGGAATTAAACTATATATACATATACAACTGATGTCTGACAATCAGATATGAAGGTTGACAAGGCAATATCTAATCATTTGGTAAAAAATCACATTTACAATAAGAAAGCTATTAAAGTATTATCACAAGTTGGATCTTATTGAAGGCACTCAGGAGATAAGAATGAGGTAGCAAATTTGAGGAAACTGAAAGCAAATTTTCATGGGAAAAATAACTAGCTAGCCTCTATGTCATAACTAAAAAGACATGCCTAAAAACAAATATTACATCTATAGAAGTTCAGTTCCTTGTGAAAATAGTAAAATGTATCTGAGGGTTTTATCTTTCATGAAGAGAAAGTCCTAAATATCTTTAGGAAAGATTTCTTGTAAAACTTCCTCACAACATTTGGAAGTCTCCTAAAGAGAAAGAAAACTGTGTTTGATCTACACAGGTACAGTAGGCAGAAAGATGAATGGGAAAAAAAATGGTGAACTTAGTTTCCATGCAATGATCTTAACAAATTTTAAAAGATCTTAAACATCATCTCCAATTAAAAGTCTTGACATCATTCCAAATCTTAATGTATTTTGCAAAAGAGCTCATCATTTTAAAGAAAACTGGTCCATATTAGTAGGAAAATTCAGCCAAAAGAAAAAAGAAATCTTAGAAACAAAAGATACTAATCGCCAAGAACCGAAAATGAAGGGTTAAGAGTGAACTTGAATCACATGTGGAATATTATTTGCAATGACTTTTCAGTGTTACGGTCCAATAACACTGCTCTACAGCCAAAATGCTTCTGAAATAAATGTAGTCAAACTTTACTAATTCTGGGTCACTGAGAACGAAAATGATGCTTAAAATTGTTGATTGGCTCTAGTTTTCAAGATATGCTATTGAGTCAGTATATACGACCCTTGACTTGGGAATGGCGGAGGATAAGTGAGTTATAAAGGGAAGGGATCTCAATTTAAACCAGAAATGACTAAAATACATCTTTGACTGGATCTATGAATAAATCTATGACTGGGTTTGGACAGTACTTGCTTTTTAGGCAAAACAATGAATGATGCAATCTGAAGCTGGTATTGCGTCATACATGATATGAATTGCATCATGTTATTCCTAGAAGTCATGGATGATGCAATCATAACAAAGCTTACATCACTCTGCTGAACAAATTGCCCTATATCAGCTCTAGAAATCATACAGTGTCGTGCTCTCTTATTTGTCAGTGTTTGATTTTGCAAAGGGACACATTTCTGTTTAGCCAAAGTGAGCAGAGATGCCTTGTACTTGTGTGAACAGTGCAGATAACTTCTGCTATGTTTGTGGTGAAGTGACTTTTGCATCACAAAAGCGCAGTATAACCACTATGGTTAAGAAAGCCTATCACCTTTATTTTGGCTGCAAAATTGGAGATCAGGACAAGAGGTGGGCCCCACACATATGCTGCAACACTTGTGCAACAAATCTTCGCCAGTGGCTGAACAGGAAAAGGAAATCTATGCCTTTTGCAGTGCCAATGATTTGGAGAGAGCCAACAGATCATACCAGCAATTGTTACTTCTGCATGGTGCCTCCAGTTGGGAAAGGTGTGTCAAAGAAGAAAAAGTGGACTGTGCATTATCCAAACATTCCATCAGCTATACGCCCTGTACCCCACGGAGAAGGACTGCCGTTTCCCGATGCACCAGAATCATTCTCACTTGAGTCAGATGAGGAAGATGAAGAGGATGAAACTTCTGGTCCTGAACCATCAATGTCACAGGACCCACATTTTCTCCCATCCTCCTCCTCTGAACCACACCTCATAACACAAGGTGAACTGAATGACCTTGTCAGGGATTTGGAACTACCCAAGAATAAGGCAGAGCTGTTGGGCTCCAGACT